TTCCATCAGCTCTTCCAGTGTTTCACAGGAGAAATCGAGGTTGACGGAGGTGATTAGGTCGATGTATTAAGGGAATCGTTATTTCCAATATTTCAATACTCATGTTATTCACTTTTTCTAGGAACGGTTTGGCAAGTACAAACCAGCCAATCAGATGACGACATGCCGCTCTACACCACTCACCAACATATATGAGGAAAGGGACACTCGTAAGCGCTCGGTCAGTGATCACGTTAAGAATTAACTCTAATTGTGATGTGTTTGCAACCTTATTGTCAAACGGGACGAACCACTGAACATCACATTTGTACATTTCTTATCTGGGTTCGACCAATCAAAGATCATTGAACTGGTAAAGACTTGTCAGGCATAAAGACGACGGGACTGAGCAAATCTTGATATAAGCCCACTGAAATCGATCAGGATAGATATGTCTTTATAAAGGTGTCGGCATGGACAGATGAGACAAGCAGAACCATTGCGTAGGACATAAACCAGAAGTTTAAAAAATAGATTTTGAAAAATGTATTGTTCAATCAAAAAAACTGTACATTTGTCTGCGACATTCCGATCACATTGACTCAGGTTTGTAAGTGCCTGGGGAGGTGGGGGTGGGTGCAAAAGATAGAGCATATAGAGATTCAAAACAGCTTATGACAATAACTGAGAACAAACTAATGTGCGAAGGTGCATAATCACTATGGAAAAGTGAAGAGAAACATTTTATTGAGTACTCGGTAGGAAAACGTGAAAACTGTATATGATTATATATGATTTGTATGATTAAGAGTTTGTCATTTGGAACGAAGTGACATTGTAAATAGATTCGAGGCGACCTTGAAAAAGGTTTTGCCGCAGACAAGTAGTGTCAAAATGAGCCATTTTTCCAAAACACAATGATAAAAATTCTTAGATAATGCTGAATATAAAAAGCAGCCTCCGAAGTCCTCAGCATGGGTGGGGTGGGTGTCTAGGGTTGCGGCTGGTGACTTCCCCTGTACCCAGCGAAATGCTCCCATACGACCAAGTGCCTCCAATAGCCTCTGCTGAGGAAGCCCTACTCAGTGCCTTCTCGCGGCGGAGGTGTTTTCCCACCGAAGTGAGAGGACAAAAAGCCGATATCCGAGGTCATAAACGGGTCGGTAAACCACCGGCAGTTGGCTAGAAACCCTGATTCCAAACCAACCATGAGGAGGTGTACGAACCACACCCACCCACACCTTCCTGGTTGTTGCAATGGTCGCCAGCTTGATTGGGTATAGAAGTGTATTGGGTACCTTGGACGTTTTACACCGTCCAAAGGGTGTACGATCCGGTGAACTGGACGCCAACCCCCAATGGATTGCGGTTTTCATACACCGTCTTACGAGTAAAGCGTCGGTTAGCCGAAGACTCCGGTTGTGGATTCCTTAAGAAAATTAACCTGTCTTGGCCTGGACAATCTGGCAGTATCGTGTCCACAAGCAAACTATGGAAACACTTTCTTTTTTATAAACATTATTCTACAGCGATTTGTTTGGCACATGGTCCGGACTCAAGTGTGTGAAGCACATTACTGACCCATGTGTGATAAAGAGCAGACGGATAAAGTCCCCTAATCACGAGGACTAACTGTTTACTCATCGAAAACGGAACTGGGAGTGACGAGCCACAGAAGGTTAGGCGTGGTGTTGGACCGGATGACAGCGAAGCAGCCCAACACCAAATTCCTGGTTTCCCTGAGGTAGTATTTCTTTATCCTGTCCATCTAGGATATTCATAGGAACTGCCACTCTTATCAGGCAAATGGAAGAGTTAAAACAATGAGAGTGGTAGCTATAAGAGGATAACCAAAGCGAATAGCCTAGATATAAATAGTAAATGTCCGATCATCACTGTTTACGACACTAAGGCATGGTCTCCGGTGTCTAGACACGGATTGGATTGGCAACGAGGATCCCAACCTGGACGCCTAGCAAGACTTAACAGGCCAGGCCCAAATTTGCAGCCGCTACTCTCGGGTGGCGGAAATTGAGATGAAATCCAACAGACGAAGCATGAAATAAACCTCGAGATTAGGGACATTCTGTCCTCCGTGCTCTGTAGTGGACGGGTTGGAAACGATAACAGATATGGTAACTAACCAACAGTAGTGGTGTTCTTGTTGTCCCTTCATATCAGGTCAGAATGCCTGAAAAGGTATGCGACTGCGGGTGTGTGTTGACCACAGAGGTTGGCTTCCCTTTCCTTCCTTCAAATGGGCCTAATTTCTATTCACCTTACATATTCTCACTTATTTTGTGTACATTGTAAGCTTGGCAGTGATCCGGGAAGTTCGCTTCACTATGTTTGGTTGTACAAGATGCGGTTGACAAAGCCCAGATCTTCGGTTGAAGTTTCTTACGTTTATGCCCCGAAAAGTCTCTTTTGAATCAGCAGTAGATACCTGTGGTAAGTAACACCATACTACTTTCAACTAAGTTCGGTTAGTTACAGGAGCTCCTCTATATCTACAACAATTCTAACGTCGGTTGAACATAGGTGCCGAGACAACTGCAGAAATTCGGTGCAGAATTATCCTTTCTTGACCCAGAAAACGCAAACACACAGCCATCGGGGTACATAAAATGTTCGGCTGTCGAACAAGGAAAATTCGAATTTCCACTACTGGGGCGATCGATCAAGCAATGCAGGTGACAGTACGAGCACAGCTTGGGTGCCAAATAGTCCTAGTCTCGTACGAATGACAGAAAATGTATGGATAGCGGTGAAGAAAAACAGGGATGTCCGATACGGGCTCACGTGAGGCGGTATATATACAAAAAGCTGAAAGATTAAAAAAGGGTCACGACCCTCGGTTTTCAAACCACTAGCATACTCTATAAAGATGACACAGTATTTTGTACCACGTACGCATGAATAACAAATAACTAAGAAGGAGAAATGAGAAACGAGAAAACAATGCCGAACCAACCTGTCAAGAGCGTGCACCGTTACCGGTTTATGACCACCAACTTTCTTTGGTTTTGTCAGAAGAGTCGGTGGGGCCGTGACCACCTCGTTGAATTTGACCTCATCTAGAACCCGGAAAACATTAATCAATACGACGCGTAACCACCCGAACCTTTTAAGTGCTCCCATCCGGTCACTCTCTTCTCGGCTGCATACTGCTGTTTCTTTTCTTTACGCAGTTTCAGACGGCTGAAAAAAACATGTGTTTAGAAGATCAGTAGCCAAATGAATGAATACTTCAACGCTTTTTGCTTCTTCCGGCTTTTCACGGCTTCCTTTTGGATCAGTTCGGTCTAACCAAGCAGGGCAGTTCGGAGTAAAGGGAACACAGATTACCTTCTGTTTTTTAGCAAATTCGATTCGAGCCAGCTCATCCTCGACTTCTTTGTGTACACGTGAAAGGTACTGTGCATCTGACTCGTGCTTCCCCTGTTTGGGCATACGATTGATGGTATCCTTACGAACCATGCCTGTGGTGTCGCCGACATCTACGGGACACGTGATCGGGAAAACGTCACGTGAGTGGAATGAGAACAGGAGGAGTAGAACACTTCTGAAAACAAGTATATGAATCATAACAGTGATATCGACTACTGTTATCGTGATGATATCAAGGATGATATGGTGATGAGAAACTCAATTATCGTTCTCGAACTCACGGAAACAGTCACATTGAATATATATATGTAATCTACATATAAATGCATGTAAAAGATGGATAAAAATAGGCCTAATCCAAAGGGGGAACGTGAGGCGAATTAATGTAAGCAGTGCACAGAGAAGAGACTAACTAATTTACAGTGAAAACAAGCGGTAGAGAATAAAACAAACAAAATAGTTGAAAACAACTGGTTACTCCACACTGGTCATTTAAGTCTAATCAAACGGGCAACCAATTTAGTTTATAAAATACCTGCTTACTTAAGATCGGAATCATCGCCAGTTCGATGGTGACAAATCTGATGCAGAACACATATCAAAGATGCATCAAATTGGTGTTTACCATAGTTCACCGGGTCTCGCAACGCACGGAGGGAACGATCAATCTTACAAGGTTCCAGGGTGGGAGACACGGGGAGTGGATCACATTGCCCAGACAAACAACGGTAGCTTGTGGTGAATGGGGGACTGACGTCAGTTTAAAAAGAAACCTATCATACCAGATGTATTCAGACGATGTAAATCCCCAATACATCAGACCAAAGTTGTGTCGAAGTCTTTCCGTTGCCGTCCCGATTCCTAACACTGCATGTGTAGCCTTTGGTTGGCCGCCATCCCTTCCTTGAAACTTTACTTAACTTTACTGCGGCTGGCTCCTTGGAAAGGATAAGCCAGCTCCAGACATGATGATGATGATCATGGAGTTACTTGGGAGTATGGTACAAGAGACATGCCCAGCGTCACTCGGCTTTTTTATTTTGAGGGCGCACCTCTAGCCTTTGCACAACCAAGTGCGAATTGCAAGGCAGCAGGAATCCCTCGCCTCGGAAGTGAGGGGGTTAATGCCTTTCGTATTAAAAGGCCAGTCACATTGACCTTTGTCACGACATCGTCATTGGGCTTATGCGGCTTTTAAATAGGAGCCAGATGACCAGCCTCAAACCCACCAGACCCCGGCAGTGCCGCTTATTTGTCGTGGTATGCCACGACCTATTCACAACTAACCTTCGATGAAGATATCCCCTCATCCACAACCCGGGGACGCGTCCGGTAGCATTAACCCACTGCTTAACTCGAGGGTATCCTTGAAAACTGATTACTGAAACAAAGCAGACAATTGTATACTACTTTATTTTCATCAGACTAGTGCAGTTAATGTCACGAATTTTAAACGGATAAAACGGTCCATTCGTGTTGGTAAATACATATTTGTTGAAATAATCCCACAGAGCACATTTGAAACAAAACAACAGAGTGGCAAATACATATTTAACACATCTGCATTTAATTTGCGACCATCGTGGTTTTGAAGAAGCGTTCGCTATTCGTACGCGACTCTAAGATTAGACTAACCTATTGGCCAAAACCTACCCATTAGTGCCAAAGGGATTGCTCTACAAGACTGCATCCAAAATATGTTACTGCTTCGTCGTACATATGGATTTTGCGTCCTAAAAATGTGATAATAATGATCATCATCGTACGAAATATGGCGAAGCGAACCTCACTGACCGCTGCCAAACGCATAATGAACACAAGATTAGTGGTAATATGTAAGGTGAACAGCGATTGGACCCTTTTGGAAAACCTCACTTACCTGATCGATATGGAGGTCGAGGCCGTTTGCCATTCAACTCTTTCAATCGAATCATTTCTTTGAAGCTGTATGGAATGAACTGCGAGTCATCTTTGGGAGGGTTATCCACCAAGCCTATGGAAATCAGTCCGGCCGGTAGATGAACACACCTTTTTGTCTGTGGACTGGAACGATTACTTTCAATTTCTTCTGTTTGCGGCTTTTCAGTCGCCGTGTGTATTGTACAGGGGGCGCGGGTGTACTGGCTCGAGCTTTGACCACTTCTTTGTAAGCTTTTTGCTTGTTACTTAATTTCTTCACTTGGTGAAAATTTCGAATTAACCGAAGAAAAAACAATGTACCTTTGCCTCTGGAACCCATTTTCACCAAAGTGTTTGGGAATTTGTGACACAAGAAGAAACGATCTGAAATGAGGTATCATAATAAAGCATTGAAGTCCGGAGAAAAGACGAGAGACTATCAAACTATGACAGTCTAATCAGGGTGGATCGCACACCTATTATTAAGTTGTGATAGATTTTCGGCATCCTAATGACACATGAGTGCATGAAGCACCGAAAAGAGAAACGAAAAATAATCAAACAGACGATTATTTTATTGTTATTCCATGCTGTTCGCCACTCTCAGTCCAGGTTTTTGATTTCTCTAGTGAAACTGGACTCTGTAACCACACGGTTTAATCCTAGATAAACCTGTAGAGACTACGCTGGTTAGGACATGTGATGCGCAAGTCACATAAATAGGTTTCCACGGTGCGCATTGGATAGAAAAAGGTCAAGGGAGATCAAACTAACACCTAGCATTAGGGTATGAAAACCCTAATCAGGAGACTAGATCACAAAGATCCCGTTTGGCTCCCGGAATGGGAGCCCCGAGATCAGGGTAACCGGTGATTAGACACTGAGTGACATGGCTGTGTCGCAAACAGTGGTGCTCGTGCAATTACTCATTATTTTTGCAACCCCAATCTACATGAATTCTCTATCTTCTCTTGAACTCTGGTTTCAACATTTCAATCTTCCTTCTGTTAATTAATCCAAATGGGCAGCCTAAAGACATCAATCAAGACCAGCACACGGAACTGCGTGGTTACTGGTTGGAAAACTAAAAAACTGTCGTCTGCGACAAAAAGATGGCATCAGAATACAGCGGGAAAACTATGATCAGTATCTACTTATATTTTCATGTGTTCAATCTCTGCACCAAACAAATAACGATACAGAAATTTTGGTGCCAAGGAAATCAGTCCACATCATCGTCATCGTACAGCGTAATACAATGAAACGAACTTCACTGATCATTGCTAAACACATATTGCATACAAGGTAAGTGGGAATGTGTAAGGAGGACAGGGATTGGGTTTATTTTAGGGACAGGAAAAGAATGCGAACCGCTATGGTCAACACATAAAGAGCACAGTCCAGTTGTGCACACATACTAACCCAAGCATTCTGGTATAACGGGAAGAGCGATATGGGTGGGTGTCGCAAAGAGTGGCATTCATGCCTATCAGTTTCAGTTTCCGTTTGAACAACCATTAACCATGCACCTTCGTGCACCGGTTTTGGTTGCTGTCTTTTGGCTGCGCATTGGGATGAAGAATAGAAGAAAGGAAAGTTGAAAGTGGATTCGAAAAGAAAATGGAGAAGTTCAGTGGTCTAAGTTTGCAAAGAAATTGAAAAGATGCACGAACGCCACTGTTT